TGATTTTTGGTATATGCAATCAATCTAGTATAATATCCAAATAAGTTTGATAGTTGGATCATTGAAATCAATTTCGTAGACAGCATATCTCGTCAAAACAATGGATTCAACAAACACTTAGAGTTTATTTAATACTTCTATTAAGTAGGATGTAAAATTTTGTAGTAATCACTATTGCAAGTATTATAAATTGATGATCGGGTCCGTTTTTGTATTCTTATAGGGTCGAGCAATGTATTTGTGAAAATTCATCAAAATCAGAGCTAAAATAATCATTAAATCATGATTATACAGTTCCAACCGTCCAAGGATTTTGTCTCCTTGCCGAATCCATGAAAGTTTTTTTTTTCTTCGATTTTTGGCTATGCAATCCCGGAGTATATACCAAACTACTTTGACCGTTGGATCGTTCAAATTAATTTTTTGGATAGTTAAAATTAATTTGGTTGATTGCGAAAATCTTCAAGGAATTGAATATGCAAAAATGTCATATACTTTGCCAGACAAATATTGTACCTTTGCCTGACAAACAAAAAACCCTAAACCCTCAATCATAAAATACATCTTTGCCTGACAAATTTCTCATGTTTTTGTCGAGCAACGCACCTTATCCGATGAAACTCTTGCCTTTCTATCAGGCGAAATCTTTAAACTTTTTTTGAGGAATTGAAGATTAAATGGACCATTGTAAAAAATAAAATTAATCGAATGCTTTATTTAGTACACAATTTTCATTACAATGGATTGCACATATTATTACAACAATAAACATTAAATCACTGTTAGTATAATCTTCCGTTTCATTATCCTCTTTTGAAGCCCTTTCATTAATTGAGTTATCGGTGCTATCGTCAAGAAAGGCATTCGGTTAAATTGGTGGTGGGGACCCGAGGCCAATACATATTGCGTCTATTTCAATTACGAGGACACTTGACATCTGGCATGGTGGTTGTACGATGTGTTGCTTTGTACTCTGGGAATGTTTCAGGTCGTTACGGATGAATCCTTTTGGTAAACATTTTGGTCATAATCGGTATCCTCATCACCCTCCTGTTGTGGTTTTGGCAAGTCCTAAGTATTTCTATGTTGTATGAAATGTAGTATTTTTCGACCACCCCTTGCTTTTGGATCATCGAGGTAGAATATTTGTTTTGCCGTATTAGCGAGGATATAGGGATCATCTTCTAACCATCGGGTGTTTATGTTGACATGTAACAAGTAATCATCTCGAATGATAATCCTTGCATTGTCTAGGTTCGTATCATACTAATGACACTTGAATATCATGACTTCCTTATGATTTGTGTGTAATAATTGAACCACACCTATAAGTTTGCCGAAGAAAAAACTATTTGCATTTTTCCCTAGGACAAAAACTCCACTGCTTTGAATGCACAATTTATCGTCATTTCGTCGTCAAGAATTTAACTCCATTCACTTAAAAACCATAGTACGTTTTTGCTTTAAGGGGACCACTTGCCAATTTCAATAATTCTTAGTTGAACAAGGGCGATTTGGCCTCTTTCAATTGTCTCATCTAGTAAAATCCAAATACAACTATATATGCAAGTTTTTTTTTTTTTTTTTCAATAGACAAAATTAAATTAATTTACAAATAAACTGACTTATATGTTAGGCAAACCAACACGAAAAGAATTGTCTGTCCATTTCAACCCAATTTAGAGGATATTGGATCTTCATCAATGCCTCATATTGTTCTTAGAATAGCTAGATTTTGTCACAATTGTTTAATATGGACCAATGAGCCACCTCCAAGTCACCGTCTTTGAATGGTTCAAAGGTCCTTAGCCGAATGAGCGTGCAGGATGAGCAACACAGTTTTTCGACTCACTCACCCCCATCGAAATTGCACAAGGCCTTATTGAAGGAAGTTCCAACATTTCGTAGGTACCTCGCACAAAAAGTATGCAATTTTTTTACAATGTATGCATCCGCTGTGGATCCTTCAGGTCTTACCCTGTTGCGAACGAACCGCTTGTTACTACGCAACAGTTTGAAAAATACCAATATTATGGACTTTTCTTTTCAATTGTTAAATAAAGAATATTAACAAATTTACTGTCAGGATTACCTTTCAATTGGGTCATCCAACGATTATGCACTAGCCCAGCAAGCTTTGCCTTATCCGGCAGATGTATCATTACATGAACCATACTTCTGAAAAATGTTGGTGGATATATAGTCGAATATCAGAATGTGCGACAAGCAAGACTACAAAATAATAAGAATATTATTAAATAAACGAGAAAGCTGAAATGGCTACAAAATCTCAAGAGGCTACATCGTTACTAGCTTACTTAACTTCATACTAAACTATAAGCTATATTTATAGAAAGCATAACCTAAAAACCCTAATTCGGATGGGCTAAGCCCATATACTAAACTAATAAGCAAACTCAAATAATCAAATAACCATAAATATTAATATTTTTCAACATATATTTTCTCTAGCATGCATAGGATGTACACAATATCTTCAATCATGTCATTGTCTGACTTTCGCAATGCTTTAACACATAGTTGCTAGAAGAACTGAGACAAATATATAATCATCTCAACAACTTCGTCGTCCAAGTAGGGCCAATACTAACTAGATGGAGCCGCTGCAGTAAAACATGGTAGTCATGACTCTTCAAACCCAACAATGTCCCATTGTCCATTTAACGTGTCTTAATAAATTGCTAGCTTATCCGTCTGAAAATTTCACATTTTGCATCCCACTTCAAGAATCATTTATTGCCATCCGGCTTAAAGGTATTATTGGCAGGTCTCTTCTTGTATTTCCCTTTAACAAATTACGGCCACAGGTTGGGCCTTATCTCCATTTCTTGCATGCTGATCCGAATCTTCATGGTGTCCTTCGATTTTACCTCGATGGGCAGAGTTGTTCCCACCACATTATTGCAAACTTCTTTTCAATATGCATAGGGTCAGCAATGTGTCTGATTTTCAATTTGGACTAGTATTCCAAATCAAAGAATATATTATAAGGCAAAATTGATGATCAAATTGCAGACATCTTTACCAAAGTATTGCCAAAGGACATGTTGTCTGTCTCATGGAATTACTTGTTGTCAAAGTAGAAAGCCACTTGCAGGGGGGTGATGGAACATATGTTGTTCTCTGTCAGTTTTTGTTCTACAGTTTTGATAATTAATTGAGTTTTGAATCATTACCAAAAAAAACTGAGTTTTGAATATAAATAGTTGCTATTTGAGTGCAACGGCTAGTTAGAAGGTTAGGTAAGTTAGGCAGATGGACAGCTAAGATTAGATGTAAGGTGTAAGGCCTAGATGGCTTTGTCTTAGGTGCATGCCTTAGGCATTTCAACCTTATCTCCTTCTTAGAGAAGGGTAGGTTCAGTAATCAGATTTTGATGAATGACTATACAAAGAGGAGCAGCAACGTTTTGCTCTCTAGAAAAGTTGAATTATCTGTACTTCATATCTCTCCTATTTCTTACATTAAATTCATATCCATTTCAAATATAAATGTTATCAAATTGTGCTTAGATTCAACCTCTTGTAGCCCAGATTTTGGTAATAGGAAAAAAAAAAAAAAAAAAACAAAATGCAATAGATATCATCACATTTCATCATTGTCCATTTTTATTAGTAGAGTTCTGCAATGGTCTGCAGAAAATTAATATTTGACACAGTTTTGCAGATGCAAAATATTATCCCACATAAAAACCCAAGACACTCATTGCAAAACATTGCCAGTTTTACGGCGTGTTTCTTGCGACTACTCACGACTTCAAATGTGCGCCGTAATTGAGCTTGTGTTATTTACGACATGGGGTTTTACCGCTTTCAGGTCGCGCCCCGTAAATGATATAACACATCATCTTGCATGCTGTAAATGATCAATTGTGTTGCAATACTAAGGGTACGTTTATTAATCCATAATCAAGTTGAGTGGAATTGAATTTAGGATGAGTTAGATTGAGGAGGAATCATAATCGGATTCTTATAGAAGCTATTTACTAAACTATCAAGAATCGGAGTAAAAATGATTTTAATTCCATAAAAGTGGTTTGCCAATTACCCTTGAATCGGAATTAAAACCAGTATAATTACTAAACTGCCAATGTTCTCAATAAATTTATATATGTACTAGGTTATGACTTTAATTTCGAAAACAACATATACTAACAAATTTTAGAAACTTTCTACCTATTTATAATATCATCCATAATTCTTTTTACCCTTTTTCCAGCTCTTTAAAACTTTTTTTTTTTTCCCTTCAATAAAGATCTATTTCGTTGCAATCTTGCTCTGAATTAAGCATTTCTCCAAACTACTATATATACACCTTAGGCAAACTTGGCATTTTATGAAATATGTGGGGTATAATGGATAAAAACCATGCATTCCAGATTGCCCCCAGCTCTTGGAATTCATTTCTCACCTCCCACCAGGGAATCCAATTCCTCCACAAGGAGGAGTTGAGTTCCATTTTTATTGTGGGCCCTACAGTCTTAATTCCTCCATACCTTAGTAAACATAAAAATGAAACATAATCAAAATCGGACTCCTTATTTTCATTCCAATTGCAGATGCGTAAACATGGCCTAAGTCACAACAAAAATGAGTCGTTAGTTTGTGAAAATTTTCCTTTTCCATGTGTAATCAACCATATATACATCTTCCACATGCATTTTCTTTTCTCTTTGTGGCTTGATGAGGTTTAGACCTAAATCATCCCAAACTCTACCCAACTTATCATGTCCATGCAAGTATACTGGTTTTTCCTCATTCAGCAATACAAGAATCATTAGTTCAATGTTGTTCTGGTAGAAAACTGAACTGATTGTGTGCGATCTGATGTTGTGAATCATTCAATACTGTGAATCATCCAATACAAGAATCATCCATGTAGGTTTATAGGGCATTCTTTGTTCGTATCAGGAGACTGAGACGTCTCATGCCAATTCTATCCATAAAACTTGCAATGTGTCTATATATACCAATAAAAAAAATCCTTTGTAAGAACATCGTATCACAACGAATAGCGCGTTTTATCTGATATATGATCACTTACCACACCTTCTGGACCGTTTACGTGTGAAAAATGAAGAATCAAAGCAAACCCATCTTCATCATTTCTTGTTTTCTTTTATTTATTCTTTTTTTATTCACACATTCCACATCAGTCACAGCTCAAGAAGTTGGTAATGTAGAAAGCAAATATATATATGTTATTATATGTTATTATTCCTTTTTTGTTGTCCTTTTTTTTTCTTTTTTTTTTTTTTGGTTATGGAAACTAATATGAGAACACACATAAGTGCAGAGGATGAGAGGAATTTTGATTATATTGAAGGGAGCAAGAAGGGGCCAGCTTTCTGGGGAGATATTAAGAGAGAGTGGGCAGCATGTAAAAATGGACGCTTGCAATCTCCCATAGATTTATCAAGTCTGAGGGTTACAACAATCCCAAGCTTGGTGGGGCTAAAGACGACATACAAGAGTTCTAACGCGACTCTCAAGAATAGAGGCCATGATATTAAGGTAAGGGTTACCTTCACAAATTGTCCATGAGGTTTTCAAGAGTCATCATTTTGGTAATTGGTTTCAAAATTAATCAATGTTGTCTTCTACATTTTGTTCCCACATAGTCTTTGCCGATAAATTTGTTAAACTTTCTATCAGATTTAATAATGAGCTACTTGGGGTAAGAGGGAGAAAATAATTAGGCTAGTGTGTAACTCAATAAAAAAAGATGTATTGGTGGGTGCAGCTGGAGTGGGCAGGCTATTCAGGATCGATCGAGGTCGATGGCATTGAGTATCACCTCCAACAAAGTCACTGGCACTCACCCTCCGAGCATTCCATCAATGGCAGGAGGTCTCTATAGTGCACATATAATTAAAGTTAAATTTTAAACAAGTAATATGAGTTTCTTAATATGTATTTTCCTGTGTTAGGTATGCCATGGAGCTCCACATGGTTTATCAAAGCCCGGATCCGAAAGTGGAAAACAATGTTGTTGTTGTTGGTGTCCTTTACCAGATTGGTCGCCCAAATGCCTTCCTTTCTAAGGTAGAATGCTTTCTAAATTACTCAATGTATACCACGTGATGGTGTGATGAACACATCCAAGTGTTTTTCATCCGAGTTACCTATTTTGAGTAACAAATAGGGAGATGATTTTCACATGCCCTTTTGGTTTCTCACACACTCCTCTTTAGTTCTGGCTATCATACTAAATTAAACTGAAACAACAAATATGATTAAATAGGGGTGTATGAGAGGCTAAAAATGGTATGTTCATCATTTTCCCTAACATAAACCCTCATGACTTATATTATGTCCCGTTGGATAACTATTAATTTTTAGTTTTTAAACAGTTTAGTTTCATTTTTTGTGCTAAAAATAGGGAGAAAGTACATGAGAGAAGTGAAGAATGGAGAAGATGTTGGAGTTTCAGTACAAATCTCATTCTATCTCATTGTCCCACATTGCTTACCATAAAAAATTTCTCACACTCTGTCCCTCTTACCAAATGATTGGAAAGATAGACCATAGAAAGCAAAATTAGGCATGAACCTTGGGATTGGGATATGGGGTGTGATTAATTATATATAAAATTAATATATATTTAATTATCAAAAGATGGACCTTGGGCCTTGAAGCTCGGGCTTTAGCATTAAATTCAATAGTTAATTTATTAAATTAATTTCGGACTTAAGTAATCTTTTTATTTTTCAATTGAGAACGTCTAAAAAAGTCCGAGGAAAACATGAAGTCACACATCCCTTCTGTTGAACAGTCACCTCCCCATTTCAAACATGTTGCAAACATGTATGTGATTACTATATGTACGTGCATCAGCATATCACTCAAACACACAGGAAATCATCTTTCAAACGATTCTTACCAAAACCAAGCATATAGAGAGAACCACAAAGAAATTCGTCAGAAACTAAGTTTTATGATGCTGAAATCTTAGTTTAGATTGTTGAATCCTAGTGAAGCAGATACCTACAAAACTAAAAGCATAGAGTAGGGCGAATTTTTGTTTCAAGGACATTGCAGTATACAAGCCTCGATCTTCATTTCGTTTGTTTAAATGTCTGTCTTGTTTGTTCGAATTCGGTCAATATATAGTTGCAATTTATTTATATATTAGCATCTAAATTTTGTATGTATGTTTTGTTTTACCCCTGCAATATATATATATATAGTGATTGATTGTTGATTATTATCCAATAGAAGAGGGGCATGAGAGGGAGATACTTAAAAATGAAGGAGATTATTTGAAAATATAAGAAACCCAACTTAAGATACACGTTCATTTCATATTTCTTCTACCATCCTTCCTTTACCTTTTTAATTTCTCATTTATTCGACATATTTTCACTCTATTCATAACACAAAAAATAAAACCGAAAGGTTATCAAACAATAACCAAGTTATATTCTGCTCAAATAATTTCTGCGCGCAGAAAACTGTGGTTCACTTTATGTATACGCACCAACATATTTTGTTTTAGGCTTTTTAGTCAAAACAGTCCCTAAGATTTGTCTAACTCCTCACTTTGGTTCTTAATATTTGAAATCAATTGAAATGGTCCCTAAGTTTGTCCACTATCAATCATTTTTGTCATTCCTTGAAAATTCTTCATTATATAAGGATAAAATGACAAAATTTTCTCAATTTTTGTCAAATTATTTAGGTCCATTGTTTATTAAATTGAGGATATTTTTATCATTTTATCCTTATTTAACATAATTTTTCAAGGAATGAACAGAATGATTGATGGAGGACAAATTCAAGGACCACTTCTATTGATTTCAAATCTCAGGGACCAAATTGATGAGTCATGCAAATCTCAGAGATCATTTTGACTAAAAAGCCTTTGTTTAATTCTATTTTTTGTAATCGCTAATTCAAAATAATGTACCCTAATACCCTGCATATCAAATGCCATACAACTACCATATCCGTTGGACCGTTAATAATTAGAATTGATCTCTAACATGTTGCTATTCTGAACTTCAGTTGATGAGGGATGTAGCATTCATGACTGACGAAAAGACAGAGAGGAGCATTGGGGTGATTGATCCTGCTGAAATAGTCCAACTGAATGGCAACAACTACTACAAATATATCGGCTCGCTCACCATCCCTCCCTGTACTGAAGGCGTTATTTGGATCATCAGCAAACAGGTACACCCAAGCCCTTCAACTATGTGTATTAGTGCCTTTCTTTTAATTTTTGTTAGTCTGTTTGATTTCTGCTCCTTAATTACCTACATTTCAATTGCTTCTGTGTGCGCAGTTAGGGACAGTTTCAAAAGAACAAATAGATCTTCTTCGAGCGGCTGTGTATGATGTACGTACCAAGACATATCTTCTATCCTTTGTACTTCTTATTTGAAGACTTAAAGCACATACATGCACATCAATTATTTAATGATGTTCTTAAACTATTTGCAGTACGCAGAGATGAACGCAAGGCCAGTGCAACCACTCAATCTGCGAAAGATATTCTCTTTCTATGGCAAAAATGCCAAGAACAAACACAATTGACGATATCAGAGAGTTCATACGTAACTGAAAATAGCGGATTCAAAAATAAAATTAACTCACATGATATTGACGTCTTGGTCTATATCTGATCTGCAAGAATAAAACATGTTTTAAAAATGTAGCTTCTGAATAATTAAATACGATCATTTATCCGTGTTATAGGTAAGCCGTACTGCCTATATATATAATACATAATGTGATCATTTATCCATGTTATATTTACGCCATACTACTGTCTATGTATACTTAGATGTAATCATTTATCCATATTATAGTCATACAAGCAAAAGTTAATAGTTATCAAAAGGTTTGCAGTGTTCAACTTTCAAAAAATAGAGATGCCACGAAAGTTAGATTTATGTACATAAGTTCATAGTTGTCAAAAGATTGGCAGTGTTCAACTGCTCATTGTTCGAAAGATACGGAGCTAGATCTATATACGTATGTCTATAGTTATCAGAAAGTTGGCACTACTCATCTACTCAATGTTCACAAAGACTTTTCTTGGTCATATTTGGTCTTGCTAGTTTGCGAATGAGCATTCTTCTCTTGGCCATCTGATGTTGAAGCACTGCCTCTTCTTTTTTGTTTTGTCCAAGAGTTTTTCCGTGCTTGCTGTGTATTAGGACGTGAAGTCTGTAAGTACTCAATATAAAGAACTAAATTCGTCAATTTATTTAAATTTATTCCGAGCTTCATCAAATCAACCAAGAGTATAATTCAGCAAGGTTACATTTTTTCATTTTGTTTAATTAAAATCAATTATATTGTTCCCATCTATTTGCACATCCCTTCAACCCTCTCATTGTTAGTGTCTGTTGAAATATATCAGGCATGTGTGTACTACTTGAAGTAGGAAAACTATAGCTTTCTTGTATCACCCGTTGTCTATTGCTAAGCCTAGTTTTTTTTTTTTTGCGCACTGTACTCAAATTTACATCGCTAAACAACAAATTGATAGCTGGAAGGGGAAAAACACTAATGAAAATGAATACTATTTCAAGTAAACCTATACCCCTACCAAGCAAACCAAGTGCATACGAACTAGGATTCTCTCCCCTCCTCTTTCGATTCCCTTCCATCCCCTCCTCTCACATTCTCTATTTGGTCTTTTTCTTTCTATAAAAAAATAATATAAGATGCTGATATGGCTTAACAGTGGCCATTCAAATAGGAGGAGAGGGAAGGGGAGTGAAAAAAAGAGGGAAGAGAATCCTACTCCAATGCATACTAACAAGAGGAATGCTAGCTACTTTTTCCACTTGCCTTTTCCCATTTGCCTTTCCCACTCATCATTTGATACATGGTTGCACTTACACATTAAGTTAAATAATTGAGAGTGTTGATATACCCACCCTAATGTCTTATCTTTCCACCCACCTTATATTCCCATCCACCGTAAAAAAATAAAGAGAAACCCATTCTATTTTCCCACCCACCGTTGTTCCCAAAGCACCTTTACCCCCAACACCCTGTTCGTTGGCCTCCTATTTCGATCATTACTGGCTGCTTAATTAAAGCCTAGATCCTATCATATCAATGCTTGATCTCCTTCTCCTATAACATGTTTTCCATACTAGTTTCAATTCTTTAAATAATATTTCCAAATATGATGAAAGCATTGGCTTTCATTGCTGCATTCATCGGTATAAATAATTAGTTTGAGTTACAAGAGTCCTACTGGGATACTGAGTTCCCATCTATATTGAATACACAAGATTACAATTATCACATCCTTTAACATATTACAATATACTTCTAATCAACATGGGGCTCTTGTTTAACAATTTTGAAACAAAATAGAAAGGAAAATGCCAAGCTCGTCAGTCACTTGATACAATCATATACATACCCTGCACTTCCATTGCAATTTGCAATCTCTGCCTGTGCCTGGCTAGCGGGGTTGGTAGCGATAGTGGCATCTCAATTCGCAATAATTGCCTTCCCTTCAAATGCATCATCCCCTTCCCCTCTCTCTCCTCGCCATTCACCAACACAAGGTAACACAATCGCCATTCACCAGCACAAAGTAGCAAAGACATGACCCTCACTTGTGTCACCTATCCACGAGATCTTGTCTCTCTCATAACCTTGATCACAATAGCGTGCTTAATTGTGTTGTCCATTCTGGGGGTTGGAGTTTTGGAAAAGACTGAGAGACCTCGGAGGCGACGATAAAATGGCAATCCGAGTGGTGTGCTAAATTGCTAGGGACAAGGGAATGGCGCTTCCTTTTTTACTGTCCTTATATGTCATTTTATGAGGGGATATATTAGTCCTTAAAAAATTAATAAAAAGTGGGGTGGGATGATATGACATTGGGGTGGGTATAGTAGCACTCATAATTATTTATTCTGAAAACAGAAACTCTATCTTTCTCCTTTTACCCTTAATAAATTTGGTCAACGAAAATAAAATAATAAAGGATAATGCTAGGATACCAAATTTTTAAACCAAATTTCCAAACCAAATGATGTGTCACAAATAGAAAATAAGCACGTTAATCAACACTTAAATACTTATCGACATCATTTGGTTTACGAAATTTGATTTAGAAATTTGACCTCTCTAATATTACCCAATAATAAACCCAAAATGTTTTTCTCTCTCATCCCTTCCACTTCCTCTTGGCTGCCATGGCTTTCTAAGAGCTAATGGGAGAGAATTTTGAAATTTTAACAATCACCACATTCATTATTAAACACCGAATTTACAAGCATAAAAAAATGTGTATGGAAAATCATTGGCCATGACATGGATAAAGAATTGATGGGGTTAGTCACTGGCCATGGCGGCTGCAAGGAGGAAAGCGTAGAGAAATGAAGTAGGGGAAGAAGGCGATGATGGGGAGACGACGACTGTGATCCTACCGGGCGGTTCCCTCTCTTCCTACCATGCACACAACAGGCATGGACCGTAGGATATGGTTAGGGATGGGGTCGGCTATGGCTCTGCCACAGGTTGTGGGGGACGACGGATGTGGAAGGAGAAAGGTCTACATTATTTGGCTTTTGGGATTTCTTGTCCGCTGCCCTGTCTCCACTCTTTTCTAAAGGATTTCCTACTTGGGTTTCTATAATACAAACCGGTTGTCATCCATGCTAATATAAAATCTAACTTTATGGTGGTCGTATTAGAAAATTACTTACTTTGGAGTAGCTTAATCAAAAATTTTATATATAGATCTATTTTGTACTGTATTATGTATATATGAACAAGACAACAAACTGAAGCAGGCACGATGACAAGTGACAACGCTAAGATTTAAAGGCCTCTTCCATACATCAAACAGTTTATATAGATCTATTTTGTACTGTAGTATGTATATATATACGAATAAGACAACAAAATGAAGCAAGCACATTGACAATGCTAAGATTTAAAGGCCCCTTTCACACATAAAACAGTTTAAATACTAGTTTCACTTCATTATCCGTGCATATTATTTCTTCTTCTTTCTTCTTCGATGCAGACAGCAACCATGCTTGGGAAACTCCTTGCTGCCTTCGATCCTTGATGACTCCAGAGAGAGTTTAGGTTCCAACACTTCAGATACTCCTAAACTGTACAGGTGGATAATGTCAATATGTACTGCGTTTCAGTCATCTAACATTTCGTTGATTTCTTCTAGGTTATCGAGTCATTTAACGTATCCTGTGTTACTTATAGGTTATGCACAGTGTTACATACCTTTAGCTGTATTGGATGTGCTATTCATACTATGTGCAACAACTTGCTGCTGCCTGCCTTGCAAGAGTGTTAAATTTTTTTTACCAAGTGAAAGTGCATAGATCATCGTGCTTGTGGGTTATTCATTTCCTTAAGTTATAACATGCATACTATGTTCAACAATACTTTGCTGCTGCCAAAGATATTTGTTATCAAGTCATGAATTCACATAAAAAAAAAACCAGAAATTTAAAATAAAAAGTTATTTATAATATGCATGTTGATAATACCATGAAAAATTTCACTTCATTATCCATGCATATTATTTTCTTAGTTCAGATATGAATTTGACATCATCTCTTCCAAAACCACCAACCAAAATCATTTCTCAAAGAGATCATACATAGAAGAGAGTGGAAACTTACCCAAAGCCAATTTCGTGCTGCTATTAGTAGGTTGGTACTGCTCTCTCCTTTTTCTTCTTATTTAGACCCAACAATTTCTGCATTTAATTGCAGAGTGTTCACTCGTGAACCTGAAAAAGTACTTTTTTCCCCTCCTTGCATTTTCTACAAAAATCAGATATCAAGTTAAATAAAAAAGACCAACAAAATTTAACCTAAAATTTCGTCTGGTAATTATCAAATATCGAAAAAGAAGATTAAAGGGGTCAAAGGAGAGAATCAGAAGAAGACTTGGAACATTAAAAAAAAAAAAAAAAAAAAAAAAAAACACACACAAAGGGAAACACCAGCTGGAGATGAACCCAACATCACCAGACACGAATGAATCATGAAGAAAAAGGGGCCGGCACAGATCGTAGTACTTATGTAATAAAATTCTACAATTATCTAAACAGGTGGGAGCAGTTTGTTCGGTACGGTTTTGGGGTAAAACTGAAATCAAAACCAAAATTTATTTTGGTTCGGTTCGATGCAGTTTTGGAGTAAAACCGAACTGGAACCAAACCATTTGATTATTTCAAAACCAAATCGTTCGGTGCGATCCGCTTAGTCCATGCTTCGATTTTGGTTTTTTCGGTTTCAAGTGCCCTTCTGTATTTACCTAATACTTTGATGCGGCTGCGGCGAAGGAGAGGGGCGAGGTCGAGAGGGGGGAAATTCGCGAAGGGGGAGGTCGAGTTGGAGAGGCAATCAAAGAGGATTCGACAGATGAGATGAGGACGGAAAAAGGGGAGTAGGAGTCGTCGAAGGTAGCCAGACCAACCCAAAGAAATAGGACCTCTCTGAGAATTGGTCAAGAGGTCAAGAGAATGCGATCCCACGTGTCAAAGAATCATGCTACATTTTACAAGGCAAACCGAAGCAAACCTGGAATAACAGAAACTAAGCGGGGAAAAATCGGAAACACTGTTCCTAAGCTACGGAAACCCAAAACTTGGTGTTAGTGTATATAATATAATTTATAATGGCATATTAGTATGATCATTTGGTGTAGAAAAAATTTAGAGAGAAGGGGTTTGATGGCCAGTGCCGCAAAGAGAGAGAAAGGGGGATCATAGAATTTTTAATGTGTGTTTTTTCACTACGTAGTGCCTTCATTTATACCAACCTAATTAAGGTTTAGGAGAGTTCAAATCTGTTGTGCCGATTTTTCCTCTGCCCACCCCATGACTTACGCCTACAAAGAATACGATAAGTACATGGGTATTGTCCAATGAACCTTACTTAATCCTACTTCTAATTTACACAATCATATTCATAAGTAAATACTATTCACAACACTCTCCCTTGAGTGTGTAAAACTCAAGAAATAGTCGCATCATATCTTCAAATAAATGTGAAAGCAGTTGATAAAATTGTCTCGTCAGGCTCACGAGAAAGAACGCATAGGTCTATGGGGAATGCATAAAGAAAATGCTACACCAAAACCTTTATGCGTGAAACCCAATGGGACAAAACTATGGTTGAAGGAGAAAACATGAGAACATGCAATATGAGGATACTTGACATCTTCAAGATGCAGTGAGACTATTGAAAACGTACACAAGTGTTTGCCTCATTAAAACATTGTCAGGTAACAAAAATCTAATGGGAAAATGTTCATGATTGAAGGAAAAAGGTATATTAAGGTAAAGTGAGTATATTTCGGGATAGTCCTTCTGCGTTCAACATAACTCCCTTTAAGAATTAGAAACGACGTTGCAAATTAGATAACATACGCAAATTGATACCTTGGAAAAGTTTCTAGAAAATAGGCTTCGGCAGGAACTTGGGTGAAGATCTCAGCAACGTTGTCTTGGCATCATATATGCTTGACTTTAATCTTTTGATGCTTTTGTTAAGGAGAAAAACTTCAGTGCAATATGCTTGGTATTGTCTCCTTTGATGTAACATTTCCTCATTTGGTCAATACAAGCATCATTATCTTCATAGATAGTAGTAGAAACATCACAGATGGAAGGAAGTTCGCAAGTACTTCATTTGAGGTTTTTTAGTCAAGTAAGATAACACTAATAAACCTATAATTTAATCTCCCCCTTTGGCTTACCTTGACAAAACCTTTACCCTAATGAAGATTTAAAGGTGGAAAGGTGTTGAGCCATTGCATAACGGCTTGGTTCAAAATACTTATCCTCTTGAAATTGAGCCTTCTTTCTATAAAACATCATGCAAAACCAACTACTATGCAACAAACAAGCATTTTATCACAAAATAAAGGCTTTTTAGTCAAAATTGTCCCTGATATTTGCATAACATATAACTTTGGTCCTTGAAATTTAAAATCAATAGAAGTGGTCTCTAAGATTGTCCACCATCCATTATTTTGATCATTCCGTTAAAAAAACTCCGTTAAGTTAAGGGTATAATACATAACTTTGGTCCCTAAGATTTGCATAATACATAACTTTGGTCCCTAAGATTTGCATAACACATAACTTTGATCCTTGAGATTGTCCATCGTCCATCATTTTGATCCTTCCATTAAAAAGCTCAGGGACCACTTAAAAAGTTTTTTTTAATGAAATAACCAAAATAATGGATGATAGACAATCTTAGGGACCACTTCTATTAATTTTAAATCTCAGGGACCAAAGTTATGTGTTATGAAAATCTCAATGACCATTTTAACTAACAAAACCCAAAATAAATCATCAATTCCAATATTATAAGCCACATTAAATCTCAAATCCCTCCCTCTTTTTGTGAAGGAAAGACAAAGAAACTCCTTCAAATACAAGAGGTCAACATTATAGCCAATGGACTACTACGGAGCGACTTGAAGACCAAAGCTAACACAAGGTAAGACAAATACATTTGGAACTAAATCCAGAACCCCTAGCATGATAATCTTCCCTGTCGTCAAAGATGTGGGACCTTATAACAAAGTAATAATAATAGTAATAATAAAGGTCATCAAACTTACGTATTAGTGGGCCGATGAGGCATGAAAAATTCACTATCCCAATGATTCAAGAAGAATTTTTGTATATTAACATTATTCAAAAGCAGATTCTTATACATTCCCACATATTTTCTTTTAAGTTGTTTTTGTAGAAAAGAGGAGACATAATATTCTTTAGATTTTTTATTACAAGCTCGAGAGGTGACAGATGTAATAAAAGAGCTGGTTTTACTAATTGGCCATTTGAAATTGAATAATGTTTGGCTACTCAAGTATGAATATGAATTCCTACTAAAAATTTTTTTGTTCAAATCACAGAGATTTGTACTTATGATCAGAATCGTTCATATTATGAATCACTTTCTAAAGATCATCTATGCAAAAAAATGAATTAAAACTAAAGTCATTTAGTCAATCTATTGTAGCAAATACATAGACGGCTCATAATGCTTTTACCAATTCCGTTCATTTGTTTTTAGAGAAAATTGTAACAATGGTCCTTCAACTTTAATTCAATTGGAACAACGGTCCCTCAACTTTATTTCCTTGACCATTGATCCCTCAATTCTCAAAATGTGCAACCTATGATCATTTTCGTTAACACCGTCAATAGTTCTGTTAAATTCAGTCACTTGCGTCACACATGAGACTAATTGTAGGGGCAATTTGGGAAACATAATATTTCTTGTGGGTTGAATTCTATCGAACGCAGAACCCATCCCAAATTGAAACTTCTTCCCATCCCCAATTAAAACTTCCTCCATGCCCAGCCTCACATTCCTCAAATTCCCACCATGTATTACAATAATCAACCTTTAGTGAAGGAAGACAACAGCAGAAACTAACCAGTTTTGTGCAAAATATAGGTGAATTCAAAGCAGGTATGACGATGTGGCATGGAATAGCTTTACTGCACTGGTATAGATTGGTATAGAGGAGAAGGCATGAAGGAGCAGGCAGTTCACTTAACCTTAGAGGAAAATGGACAATTTGGAAGCCATTGCCGATGAGGAGAAGACATATGGTAACATCAACTAATCGAGGGCTTCTTGGCCCATGAACATCAAAAAACCAAGCAACAATATTGTCTATTTCAAAGCCTCTATGGTCTTCCCATCTTTGCAGAAGCTTGTGTCCCAAAACTTTGACCCACAAATCCATGTAAATCTGGTCTTGCTTGGTTCCCCATCCCTTTGTATTGACTTCAACCCACGGGAAACAATGTTTACTTAATTACCCCTACAATCAGTTTCATGTGCCACGCACGTGACTGTATTTAACAGAATTATTGACGGGTTAACGAAAAGGACCACAACTACACATTTTGACGAGTTGAGGGACCAATGGTCATGGAAATAAAGTTGATGGACCATTGCTCCAATTGGATTAAAGTTGAGGGACCACTGCTACAATTTCCTCTTATTTTTATACAATTCGATTACCAAATGACATTAGTTTTAATTGATTTTTTGGAGATGCAATCTTTATAAAGTGAGTTATAATATTAATGGTTCCGATTATAAACACAATGTTCAATAAAAGAACAATGAATGGTTTTGAGTAGGAACCCCTACTCATCATTTGAGTAGCTAAGTATTATTCTTTGAAATTTATGGCCATCTTATTTTCGCCCAACGTTATAAAAAAAATATAGGACTTCAACTTTTTTAATTAGTCAATTACCCTCTAATTGTCCAATTTTACACGTTTCATCTAAATTATCACGTGTAAGTTAAATCTAACACTTCGGATGAGAAAATTCTTATTTCAACATGTTTTTGGGTCAAAAACATAAATTCTAAAAGCTCCCACTCCGCAAATACATACATGATGTTGAAATTTGATCTTTGTGCACAAATTGGTGTGGAAAGTAATAATTTACCCATTACAGTGTTAGACTCAGATGCATCTTTGACAATGAGGGTAATTTGGTCCATCAAAATAGTTCTCTGAATCCCAAACTTTTCAAAAAACAAAATTAGTTTGCAAATCGACAGATTCCTTTAAAAATAAAAATAAAATAAATAAACCCAAAATTAAGGGATATGCCTGCTGCATACTTGAACTTTTAAGAGATTTGATCAAAGAACAAAACTTGATAGATTATAGATTGGATTAACATTTCGAGGGCGTTCTGCTTTGCTCATTAAACCCAAAAAATGGTGGGTCTGTAGGGTTACATTTTTAAATCCTTTGACAGTACGGTGAGTGGGCCAATGGTATGCGGTTAAAGTTGATCGAGGGTGATCTGCTTTGCTGTGGATGTTGGAGAGGAAAGGAATATGAATATAGCTCCTTTCTAACATAAATATTCAACAATGGACATCCCATTTGTCTGATTTGAGAATCTGATGCAGCTAACAAGCTGAGTTAGTGATTGGCAAGAGAGTTGCATTCCATCTAGGCGTGTGATGTTTTCTCACAGTATCTCAACGCACTTTAGTAAAATATGTCACTCTACAATTAGAGGATCACTTCATTCAATTTCAGATTATATAATTTGAGCTAACGCTTGTTTGGGGCTACTTCTGAAATGAGTAAAAGTGATTTTCACAAATAAAAATCACTTCTAAATATATATGGCAAAAAAATAAAAGCATTCTAGGTCGTACAAATATTTTCGGTAGAAGAATCTGTTGGGTAAATAAGCACATCCCCTTTTCTTTTCTTTTTTTTTTAATTTTATTTTAATAAAGTACTTGAATTGTTTGACATTTATACTTAATAAAAACACTTATAAAGTGTTTCTTATAAATGTAATCTCAAACCAGCTCTTACACATTTTCTAACAAAGGCTCACATTAAAAGATTATAGGCCTTTAGGTCCATTTTTGGACGAGCTTAAGCAAACTAAAATAGCCTAAAAACTATAAATTGCAATGGAGATTTTGGATCTATAAGAAACCATGCAGCGAAGTAAAAGTATATACATAGAGATTATAGATTAGACCAAAGAGGAAAAAAAAAAAAAAAAAAAAAAAGAAGAAAGGAAATCAAAGGTAGCGTAATCTAATAATGAAAGCACAAAACAAGGTAGGGAATATATTTCAGGTTGAATAGATTTAGGTCATTTGAAAACTAATTAATAAAGCAGATAACATCATCCATGTATGTATCTTTGCTATAATTATATTTAATGCCAAGTTAATCTTTTTCCTTTTGGGTGGACCACTCCTGTCGAAGAAAGATGGAAGACCAGAGACTATGTTTGCTAATCAATTTGTTCCCGGATTTGCCGGAGGACGCTCCATCCATTACTATTGGTTGCTGGTGATACGGATCTGCATAATGTAGGCCCCTTAATTAATTAGTTTCTACGTGGTTTGTTCAACTGGGTTTTGAATTAACCAATCGGATTTGTAACTGGCATGGATGAAACCTGAGGAAAAGGAAAGAGATCTTCTTCGGAACTCT